AACTGACCCACGCTAAACCCCTATTAAAAGAAATGAAAGCCCTAAACATTTACCAAATTAATATCTATGGTAATATATTGTTCATGCTAAAATACAAATTAGGATTAGTTCCAAACCGATTTACAGAAAATTTCTTTATGAACATTTAAGTTTTTCTTTAATTTCAAATTTAGTTTACAAAGGTCATTCCTTTTAAAAAAAACAAATTTTTCAATCCTGCTCTATTCCAAGGGCGGATCCATTGAGGGACAATGGAGACAATTGCCCTTTCCCTTCCTTTGAAAGTTTTTATATTTTTTATTTTTATAAGTTTGTATATTAAACACAGCAATTTGATTAAAAACGAAAATAATATATTTAGGCTGTCTAAATAAAATTATAATTAAAAAAAAATTATATGGTGCAAATTCAAAATTGTGTGATTACTTGCTTACAAATCATTAAATCGTCCCCCCTCCTCCTCTATCTAAACTAGATTGTCTGCATTCCCAAATCAATAAAACAAAATAAAAAAAAATGAAATCGCCCCTTCTTACAACATGGTCTAGATCCGCCCTTTCTCTATTCTAAGACTTTTTTTATTCAATCTAGTTGGTTTAGTGGCGTAGTGAAAAGGCAAACATTGTCTTCTTTTAAACCCGGTCATGTAGATTTTATTTATATAACACGGCATTATATTCTTTTTTTTTATGACAAATAAATCATAAATAAATAAATAAAAATAAAATATAACGGTTTGACTAATTTATTTTAAACATTTTGACTATTCAGTTTTGTTTTGTTATTTACACAAGTTAGTTTTATTGCTGCAAATTATTTCTTTTATAACGTCCATGTCTTTTTAATGTCAGAGTTTATATGGAGTAAAAGTTTTTTTTTTTAATATTTTATTAAGTTTTTGTATTGTTTGTAAGTATATATGTATGTACGTAATTCAATAAACTTTTTACGAATTTAGGAAATAAACAGGCAAATGATATTTCTATCATAAAAGTTTATTATTTTCAACAAACAAAAAAAAAAATAACTTTCTCTAATTCCGACTTAATGTCCTCAACGGCTATCCTCAATTCCACTGTGTAATAGCTTCTTTGATTTATGCTTTGTTTTTATCAGCATTTACAAATGAGGAAAAAATGATACTTGAAGAAGACATTTTGTCAGGTTAGAATCATTTTGTTCTATCTCCAAATTTGAGAAAATTGAGTTAATACCAATTTCTTTTTTATTGTTAATTTTTTCGTTTTAGCTGTATTACTTTTGAAATTAATTTTTTTTTTTTAATAGTGCCAAATCAGGTGTATCCGATTGTTCTATTTGCAAAATATCAACAGTTTTTAATGTTATTTTGTTATATTTCCAACAACCAATAAAATTGCGTATAATTCACATTAGGTAATCAGTTCGTGTTTATTTCATTTAATTTAATTTTAAAACGGCGGACGAAAATAGTGTATATCTTAGAATAATAAACAAAAATATAGGTACTTTCTTATATATTCTAGTGTCAATCGGGTTTTTTTTTGTTATTATTCATAATTCTACATTTTATTTTAGTAAGAAATGTATCATCATCTAATTAAAAGCAGACGGATTCTGTTGTATATGAGACATACAGTGTATATATATCATATAATATATATGGTTATATATACACACTATTGTATATGTCAAATATACAACAGAATTGGTTATATAGTTCGGGATACACATATACTTTATGTGTGTATATTTTTTTCTTTATGTATGTATATATTGTATGTGTATGTGACATATACAACAGTATATTAAATATCCTCACGTATTCCGTACGTCTTTGTTTATTTAGTATATACAACACATTTTATATACTAAATAAATAAAGACTCAAATGAATCGTTTCATATATGGAAAAAATTTTGCATTGCATAACCTTTTTTATGTTTAATTTTTATTTTCAGATTACCCACAGCAAGCTAATTTCATGGTTACACCCTATGTTTCAACGCATCCTTTAATTTCTGATCAACTGCGATTACCTCCACATGGTGGGAAAACAAGAAAACGTAAAGCAAACTGTTATAAATGAAAACAGTCACAAAGAAAGCGACTTAAACAATCAGGAAATTAATATATAAATGTTAGAAGCAAAGTTATTCAACAAAGAAGTATTAAAAACAAAAAAGATTGTAAAATTTGTTGCAAGTTTTAGTGTTTTGAGAAGATTTCAAAAGACGAGAGAAAAATATTATTTAATGGACTGTGGGGAATGTCTCAGATTGAAAAGCAACACTTTTTTAGTAAAGCTACTGAACGATTAGATAAAAAAAGATCTCGAACCAATAAAGTAAGCAATTTAAGTAAAAAAAATATTTATTTTTACAATTTCTTTGTTGATAATATCAAGGATCGTGTATGTAAGGAGTTTTATTTGTCTACATTAGACATCAGCAGCAGGCAAATATCATACTATCATGAAAATAAACTTGAAACTGGTGTTCCTGCCCCAATAAATTAAGGGAAACATTGTAAAAAAAAGTTCTTGAAATGACTAAACAGAGTAGAGAAAACCATATCAACTTGTTTCCACGAGTTGAGTCACATTATTGTCGAAGCATTTCCTAACTCAACAAAAATTGAGAGAGATAAGGATCGAAAGTTGAACTCCCCTTCCACAACCATAGTTTGTATTGATCTACAAAATGTCGTGAGTTTGCCAAAAAGTAAGGTGGGAAACTTCTTTTACAATACTTTGATGGGTCATTAAATTTGAAGAAACTTTATAATTTGTATTTAACATATTGCAAACAATATGAAGTTTCACCAGCTAGTACCGCAATGTTTATAATACAAAATTTAATATTGAATTTCAAAAGCCGGAAAAGGATCTGTGTGATACATGCTACAAATTTCAAATTATTGAAAATGCAAATGAAGAGCAAACCCAAAAGTATAACAAGCATATTGCATCAAAGAATGAAACAAAAATTGAGAGAGATAAGAATCGAAAGTTGAATTCCCCTTCCTCAACCATAGTTTGCATTGATCTAATAAATGTTATGAGCTTGCTAAAAAGTAATGTGGAAACTTCTTTTATAAAAGGAAGATCAGCTGTTATAACTTAACAGGTCACTCTTCACTGAACAAAAAAGCATATGGTATATTATGGCATGAAGGTATGTCAGGTCGTTCTGGTAATGACATTGTCAGTGCTGTGATGTGTATGCTAAATAAAGTTTACAAGTATCTTCCTAATATTAATTAATTTATATTTTGGTTTGATTCTTGCGTTCAAGAGAATAGAAACAGACATATGTCAGCTGCATTGCGTGAGTTTCTTATTGATCATCCAAATATTGAAATCATTGAGCAAAAGTATTGTAAGCCAGGGCACAGCTCTATTTAGGAATATGATAATATACATAGTCAGATTGAGAAATCATTACATTCAGCAGAAATATTTAGTCCTCTTGGGTTGGTGAAAGCAATGTTGAATGTTAACCAACGTAAACCATTTTTTGTATTCCAAATGCAAAAAAGCAATATTAAAAATTTTTTAAAAATTGCTAGTCTTCTGAACTACAAAAATGTTCCACACTTTAATGTTAAAACGCTTGTATATAGGTTTAATGCTCCTGGTCATGTGTATTTCAAGACTCGTTTTACCGATAATTATAAAGAGGCACGGCAAAAAAAAACACACGATCATCAGGAAGTAATCTTGAAGAATCATAAATTCCATTGGCATCTTGTTTTCGACAAAATATTGAAATTTCTAGTTAGAAGATAAAAGACATTGTTTCTATGTATCCTTACATGCCAGCTGTAGATGTTTGTTAATATAAAACATTCTTTCATTAGTTGTTTTTTCAACTCTTTATCCGGATATACTTTATTTGTGTTATGCACTATTCAGTTTTATCTTGTATAAGGTTCATTTAAACTGTTCTTAACTTGTTATTTGTATTAAAGATATTTATTTTTTATTTTCAATAAATCTTTTTAGATAAAAGTAATTTTATTATTAATAATATAGCTTTGGTTAAAATCAGTTTGTTAAAATTGAAGCTGCCTATCCTACCAGAAGCAATATATCCAGAAAACTTATTAAATGACCATATCCATTTAAATTTGCCAACTAAGTGTTTTAGAGTCTATATTTGCTTTTAAACTCCTAAATTAAAAATAATTTCTTGTAATCCATCAACTCCTCGCAATACGTTCAAGTTGCATTTACTAAAAAATGGAGATAGCACAAAATAATATTAACACGAAATTAAAATTTAAAAGTTATTTTGTTCTCCAAACAGGGTGGGGCCATAAAAGCGATTTGAGCAAAATAAAATTTTTTCACAACAAATAATTATAATGAGCATATAGTCAAGTATTGAAAAACGTTTGCATTATTAAAAAATGTATTGCCACTTCTGCTGGATAGCAGTGTAAAACTTCAGCTTGATTTATCTCAGTTTAAACAAATGGAGAATTAGAACAAAAAAATTCTAACCTGACGATTTGTTGTGGAATAAAAAAAAAGTTTATTTCCAAAATAGCAGAACAAAAAAAACAAAAACAAAACAACAACAAAAAGGTCTATTTTAAAAATCTAACATTAAAACTATATTAGAAAAAGTGTAATAAAGATATAAAAAAGATTTGTGGTACTTTTTTAAAAATAAGCTTGTGTCGCACTTATTTATAACGGAAAGATAAATAAGTAAATAATTAAAACTAAAAAAATTAAAGTTTAAAAATATAAGTACCGCTAGGTATAAAAAAATTACAACCATTATTTTATTAAGTTTTTCAAAAGAAAAAAATTATTTCTACAGCATTATAGAGTTTTTATTATTGAATTTTACAAAAAATTACAGAGAAACGTTAAACCTACACGAAATTTTCGCCATACTGTAAGTGTCTCCCTAATGAACAAAATTTACGTAAGAAATAGCCGCCTAATTTTCATCTAGCAAAGTATACATGTATAAATATATATATATATATATATATATATATATATATATATATATATATATATATATATATATATATATATATATATATATATATATATATATATATATATATATATATATATATATATATATATATATATATATATATATATACATATATATGTATATATATATATATATATATATATATATATATATATATATATATATATATATATATATATATATATATATATATATATATATATATATATATATATATATATATATATATATATATATATATATATATATATATATATATATATATATACATTTATATATATATATATATATATATATATATATATATATATATATATATATATATATATATATATATATATATATATATATATATATATATTATATATATATATATATGTATTTAACAACTTTATTTGTATATATAACAAGCGTGCATTAGTTTGTCAACAATAAAATGTTTTAAATTTGATACCTTGTTTTAGTCCTCAAGTAAAAAAATGATAGGTAGGTCTACCTGGCCACTCGATGAGATCATTCTTATAAACATATTTTGCATTCGTTCCAGAAAAGGCATACTTGGAACCTTGTTTTACTGAATAGGTTATCTTTTTGATGAGCCACACGTCAGTTAAATTGTTTGTTGTTGTTTCTGCTCTACAATAAAAACCATTTTTTTGTTCAAAAGGAACATTTTCTGTAGTTGAAACAGTTCGAATAATTCTAATGATATCATTGAGGTTTGAAGACAATTTATTGCTTGAAGCAATCCATAATGAAAATGGGTAAACAAAGTCGTACCATCTGTAGTAAATATCTTTTTCTTCACCTACAGGCTTTAGTACATTATTTTGCCTAAACGGAGGCAAGCCTTGTTTTAATTCGAAAGCTAATCGACATAAATTTGAAGCTATATCACACACAAGGCAATCAGCATTACTAAGGAAATACAAATCTAATAACGTACTCTCTATTATTTCTTTTGAGAAATTTTTCTGAAAATAGTTTCCTAAGCCAAAAGATAAGTAATTTGCCGGAAGACTTGTTGTAAAAATATTAGGAGATAATAGTTTATTAACAGTTTTTATTGCAGGTAAATCATCTGATGCAATGTAAATGCGTTTAATACCCACATTATTTTTGTCAAAATAATCATTTGCCTTTTTTACAAAAACAGTTTCATTGACATATTCTGCTTCCCCAAGTGTTATTTTATCACCATGTCTGATGTGAAATCCAACTATAGGTGAAGTATAATTAATATGCTTTTTCATAGTAGAAAACGTTGTGTTAAACCTGTCATTTGGTCTTAAAAGCAGATATGCTAGAAACTGTGAAGTAAACCAAAGCCATGGAAATTTAACACCAAGATCTGATAAATTTTCTTTTAGTTTTTCTGGTAGTGTTCCAGGTACGTGTCTAGGATATGGGAATGTATTCTTTATTGTGTTAAACTCAATAACGCGATGGGTGTTGTTAATATCATAGCCATTTTTCAAATAACATGAGGGGTCTTGCGCATTGCACGTTTGTGATTTGTCAACAGAAAATTTTTTTTTCAGGTAACCACACTTATAAGATTCAGGTTTAACCCATTGAAACACTCCATCAAAATGACTATACTCATCTTGCTCAATAAAAAACATCCTTCCCAATCCATATGCTACTTGCATACAAACACCATACCTGTGTACGTTAGATCCAAAACCGTAAAAGTTTTGAACATTTTTACAAAATAAAATTTTCTTTTCTTCACAATTACCTTCTTCTTGTAATTTATGTATTTGCTGTTTAATAACGTTATGAATTTCTTCTAAGGATTTATATTTGTGCTGATAGCCTACATTTTGAGATAAGTTTACAATGGGCAACAATAAAATATTTTTAATTTTTATAGCGAAATTCAATTCATAAAAAATACAAAATAGTGTTGTTGAAACACAAAGGAAAACAATAACTTCTGTTGCTTTTTTTTTCCCCATTTTTGCTAGTAAAATAAATTGTCTAAATAAATGTTAATGGAAAACTTTAATAGATATGTTTCTTTAACATGGAGTTTTTGCAAAAAAGTTTTTATTTTTATATTTTCTTGTGAACATTTAAAGCTACAATTTCTTTTATGTTGATTGAATTCTCTTTGAATTTTGCCTGACAATGAACTTAAAAATTTTATTCTAATACACATTTAATAAAAATACATGTGAAATCACGTTTTGCAGCAGGGGTTATTTGGAGCTCACTAGCGGATTTCTAATAGCTTTTTTTCTCGACATATTAATGGAACAATCTGTTACCGGATATAAATTTTTTTAATTAGCTAAACGATTGCAAAACAAAATTGTTTTATGTATTAATTTTGTTTAATTTTATGATAATCTTAGGAACAACAGAAGCTGCTGTTAATGATAAAAAAAATTATTTTACTTTATAATGGCTTTTGTTAGTACTTTATATATATTTTATGCGTTAAAAAAACAAAACCCTGAAACGGAGGTGGAAAAGAATGATTTACATGGTGGAAAATAATGAGTTATACTATCTAGTTACGTTACTGTAAGCCAATAATATTTTTTGTGTGTATTTCTTCTTTTTAATTATTTTTTTAAATAGGTTGTCCATTATTTACTTCAAAAAATATCTTCAAAATGTAGAGGTGGTCTGAATTTTAAGTTTCTGATTTTTTTGGTAAATGGTGACAATGTAGAGGGCTTTTTTTAGTTCAAAGTAAGCCTTTGTATTTATAACGGGAAACATGTTCAAGTTAAGCGGTCATGGTTTCAGTGGTTAAAGTCCTTCATTTTGAAGCAAGAGACATAAACTTTAAAGCGAGCTCTAGATATAATTTGCGCCATTGGTAAGAAAGGATGAGTAAACTTCTTATACAAATGCTTTTCCACCTTGCTCTATGACAAGAACGTTAGATCTTCTTGGGGCTTCTAAAACAAAAATTAAAAATAAGCAAAACAAAAGTAATTAAATTCTATACACATTTACGACAGCTTTTACTTTTTGTTTCACTTTCTTTTTCACAGCAAGTAATTGCAGTTTTTAATGAATGACGTTGATTTGAAATATTCCAGCAAATATTTTATAGCGGAATTTAAGTGGTCCAATATAGGCATTTTGTGCAGTCGTTTGTAAATTTGATCATCGGTTACTTTGTAAATCATTTAAGGCAGCTGCCAAAAGTGGCTAGCCGATGACTAGCCTCAATTAACACGTCGCAAAGTTATTGGATTTCCATTTAAAGCGACTGCCATTAATGGTTTTCTTTGTAACTGTTGAGCAAAACTCCACCCAGTAGAAAAAAAGACGTCGAAAAGACGTCTTTAAAAGTCTTATTTACGATTTCTTTAAAAGGTCGTTTTTCAATCGATTATACATTTATTATTATACATTAATCGATTATACATTAGTCGATTATAATCGATATATAATCGATTATAATCGATTATAAATCGATATATAATCGATTATAATCGATATATAATCAATTATAATCGATATATAATCGATTATAACCGATACATTAATCGATTATACATTAATCGATTATACATTACATACATTCAATCGATTATACGATTATATCTAAAAAAACTCTTTTTTCGACATCGAAAAGACGACTTTTTTTATTTTAACCTTTTCATATAAATACTTAAAAAATGCGTCTTTCAGACGTTTTTGTTTATCAATTATGCACTTCTAAAAAAGTTTTTTTTTTCCGGGTCAGAACAACTTATTTGTCATACTTTTTAGTAAACTTTTGTAGTATACTTTTACACTATACTATTCTTACTTTTTATATATAAAAATCTGTTTTTATCAAATGAAAATGATAATAACTCATATAAAATGTATGACAAATATCTCTGTCTAATGCCGAGAAAAAAACCTCTTTTAGATGTCAACATAAAAGAACCATTGTCTACATCTTTTATATGTTTAAATATAATAGAATCATTTATAAATAAAATGACAGTGTTGTTCAACAGAATATTTTTTCATCTCTTTCTTTTCCGCTCTGTTTTTTGTCGTTGTTTAATAAAATTAACTAATTCACTTGGAGAAATCCATTCATATGACTGGTTACGACTTCTAAAAAAGGAGTAAACATAAAAAACAGTCTATTGCTAGAATGTGACACAAAAAGCAAATGAAACTTGATAAGCTGAGTGAAACACATTAAACTTATTGACTATTAAATCAAAAAGTGCTGATCGTTCTAAACCTCTCATGTTTCCAGCGTGGTCCTCACTTTTTGAACCCACTAGGTTAGATTGGGACAAGAGTCAAACGGTAAACAGTCTAAAAGTATATAAAAATGAGTGTGCTACAAAAATTTACGTCTATCAAAATGACTGTTTAACGATATATTTTATTATGTAGTACTTAAACCAAGCTAAACATTTGCAACTCTCAGATTATATATGAAAGTCAAATTATTAAAAAAAGGATATTGATATGACGTGACTTTTTAATTAAATTTTGCTGAAAGCAAGTGTTGTAGACTCATAACAATTTAAAAATCCGTCATTGAATAAAGACTATTAAAATAAAAAGATGATTCAGCTAATACACCTTGACAGTTGTTATTTATTTAAACTGCATAAAAGTATTAATCAAAGCTCTGTTTTAGCCTGAAACATAATGATGCTCTACTTAACTACATAAAATCATAAAAATTGTCGATAACATTAGCAATACCATTATTTGACGACAAATAATTCTTTATTGCGATAACAAGTTTTTTCTAAACTCAACGTTATCCTAATATTTTCAAAATAATAAAATCGAAAAAATTCTATTCCTAATATTTTATCCTAATTTATAAAAACTAAATAGACTCCTTAGTTTGAGTAACTCTAAAAAATATACTGAGATAGAGGCACATTTATGTATATAAACTTATTTGTCAACAAATCAGATAGTTTTCCATGTTAAATAAATAAAACATATATCTAATAAAGAATAAACCTAAAAAATCTAATAAAATTATTAAATAAAAAAGTATAGCAAACTTACTAATATCAGTACCAGATCTACTGTCTAAAAATTTTTATTATTATTAACGCTTTAAATAATAATAATAGTAATGATAATAATAATAATAGCAATAATAATAATAATAATAATAATAACAATAATAACAATATACAATAGCGTTGGCATTTAAAACAAATGCAAAAATTAAATATTTATAGGAACAATAAATTTTTATAAATTTATTTAATTTAATACATAAAACTTTTATCTTTCAAACAGAGCTCGAAAAATAAATAAAAAAGTTACATGATGGTTTTCAGTACTTTCAACATACCATCATATCATTGCTATATATATTATATGCTTTATAAAAGGTGACAGGCTGGCATATTACCCCGTCCTTCATCATTTCGAGTACTGCTTTATAGTATTTAGTAACTAAACTTTATTGCCCAATTTTCGCTTTAGTTAGGCATTTTTTAATTTAACTTGGCGATTTTCACTTTATAAATTATAGTAAAAATTGCAATACTAAAATAAAAAATGCAAAATGAAAGTGAACGTTGGCCAACTTTACCTACTACTACTATTTTCATTTTCTTTTGGCATTTTTCAATATCTCAATTTTTTTTGGGCACTTTTCACTTTAATTTGTAAAGTGAAAATTGTCAAATTGAAATGAAAAAATGCAAAATTAAAGTTGGCGAACCTTACCTACTACTACTTTTTTCCCCAAATAGCAAACAGTATTGGCGTAATATTGGCGCAATATATTGTACGTTGGCCAAGAAATCAAGTAAAAACTTGAGATTTTTTTTTTAAACTCACTTTTAAGCTCTGGCTCATAAAGAGGCCTCCAAAAACAAAAATATCCCCTGGCCCCAATATGTTTTAACCCGCCACTGTAATATTGGCATGATCATACTGACCGATATTAGCGAAAAAAATTGAATTGCCAATACTAGCCAATATATGGTATTGACATATTTATACACATGCATACTTTACTGAATATCGATTATGGCCTCCAACAAACTTGACTAAGGCTTTAAAAAGATTTTTTTTAAATAGCATAACAAAGGAACAAATTCTACACAGGTGTAGTAGCTTATTTTTTGATTAATAGAATTTTTTAAATTGAAATATTTTTAAATTTACTGTAAGTTCATATAAAAGAAAAGCCATTAATCTTAAACGGAAAACGCTAAAATACAATGGCCATATTATAAAACCTATTTTATTTTAACCCTATAAACGGCACCTTTTTTTTTAGACGTACATCCAAATGCGCGGGTTATTTTAAACAAAACGCAACTTTTTACTAATGCAAATTTAAAATGAAAACTTTAATTTTTATTTTTAAATGAAATTTGTGCTTATTAGTTCAATAGAACATTTGAGAATCGTAAAACCGAGGTTTGAAGTGTGTATGACTAATTTTAAGGTGTTACAAACTCTATAAGTAACACTTTATCTCAGTGCGTATTATTACGGCGATGCTCCTTAACGCATAAAAAGGCCCTCCGCAATATTACGGCGTTTTGTCTTAAAGGGTTAATGCTTTATTCAAACGTTAAAAGATAATGGGTAGCAACATCCTATTACGTTTGCAGAGAGCATTATGACTTTTTAAATTTTATCTAAAAGACCCGATTTTAGATGAAAATTTAAATTATGATAAAAAAAGAAAGAGAAGTGTTTAAAATTTAGTTTTACAGTGTGTCACGTATATATATATATATATATATATATATATATATATATATATATATATATATATATATATATATATATATATATATATATATATATATATATATATATATATATATATATATATATATATATATATATATATATATATATATATATATATATATATATATATATGTATATATATATAATATATATATATATATATATATATATATATATATATATATATGTATATATATATATATATATTCACATATATATATATGTATATATATATATATAGATATATAAATATATATATATATATATATATATATAAATATATATATATATATATATATATATATATATATATATATATATATATATATATATATATATATATATATATATATATATACAAAAGAAAAATAGTTAAATCTTTCTTTTTGTCAGTAATCCAATATCAGAAAGCAAATAAGGAAAGGTGAAGATAAAAACGCAAAATAATGAACAAAACTATTCCTTTAATTATTTTGTTTTGTTAATAATAAATTTTTTTTTTTTAAAAGTAAGAAAAACCAATAATACTGAATACTAAAAAAATCATTAGCAATTAATTGTTACTTTATTTAAAAGCGTTTTAATAATATAACATTAAAAAAGATCAATGTTTAATTCAAACGGCTTTTCAAAACTTTAATTCAAAAGTTTGTCTTTTTTTCTTCTCAACAAAATCTTTTCGAGTGCATAAACTTTAATGACTCTTGAATAATGTTTATTAAAGAGACAATCGTTGTTTTAAAGTCGTCGCTTATAAAATTTAAATAAATAAAAAATAAATAAAATTAATTGTAAAAAAATCTTACCTATTATTCTATTTTTTAACTATATAATTTTATATATGAATCTTATATATAAGTTAAAATTTATACAATTTTCATCTATACTTTAAATTAAAACTTTAACAGTAACTGTTACTTTATTTAAAAGTATTTTGCTAATATAAAAAACGTTAGTAAGGATATAAGTTTTAAAGTTATTTATTTTTGACGTAATTAAAAATAATTTTTTTTCAGTGAATTTTTAAAATGATAAAAACCGTGGTTAAATCGCCAAAATAAAGTATTATTTGCGTAGTAATTTAATGGTGCGCGATCGCACGTCTTCCTGACCAAGCCTGCTGGGATAGCTAAAAAAGAAGAAAAAATCCGACAAGCTCACATACCTCTGCTCCGACAAAAGCACCTATTGCAACATCAAACAATCCACTGATCTTTTTAATCCAATGTTGTCCTTTATTAAACAAAAATGATTTTCCGGCTTATTTAATTATAAGTTTATTTTCGTTTTTAATGGTTATATATTTCTAAGCAACTTTAAATGTGTTATTCAAAAGATTTTAATTAATAGCAGGATAAAAATTAATAGCGTCATATAATTTATAAAAAAGTTTGTTTTTAATACCTTTGAACCAATCTAAAACGTTTACGAGCTTTTCCATTGATTGAGACTGAGAATATTTTTTAGTTCAGCAAAGACGTTAGATAAAATAAACTTACTGATTCTTCCAGTATGTATATATATATATATATATATATATGTTTATATATGTATATATATGTTTATATATATGTTTATATATATATATATATTTATATATATATATATATATATATATATATATATATATATATATATATTTTATATATATATATATATATATATATATATATATATATATATATATATATATATATATATATATATATATATATATATATATATATATATATATATATATATATATATATATATATATATATATATATATACACATATATATACTATCGATATTTGTAAAGATAAAGACAACAATTAGGCTACAAGGACCGTTAGCTTTATAAGCTAAAAACCCATTGGCTAATAGCTAGCGTCATATTGTAATAAAATCGTTGTCTAAATAATTTTGACATAGAGCTATCAATCAGCAATAGATTTATAGATAAATTGTAGCTAGCTACAAAGCTACGATATGTAGCTAGCGACACATTGGTACAAAATCACAATGTTTAAAGTTAATTATTTTCATAAATATAATGGACTCAACACTAAAATTCGAATTTTTAAAGCTGTTAAAGACATTAAAAAAAAATAAAAAAGGAAAAATAAAATTGCTTGAAAATCGCTATAAATTATCATGAAAGTTCTAAACTTTTAGAGAAAATTTTTTTTTTGATTATTTAAGAGCAATCTTGGTTTTATATGAAAAAAATGTTAGCAAGGTTCCTCATAGCATGCGAGGAAATAGAGTTTTTGACAACAGGAATTTTAAAGGATAATGGTTTAATTTTGTGTAAAGAGGGTTTGGAACAAATGTCTGGTACTGAAAATAAAATTCTAATGTAGTTGCAAAGAAAAAATTAAATTTCGCAAAATCGTACTACTGCAAAAATTACTGGAAAAGTGGTTACAATTAGGCATATAAGGCAAAGCTGAAAAAATACAAAATATTTAAAATTTAATTATCATCAATTCACGTCATTTGCTACTCGCTTGCTCTTTTCCCACCGAGAATAGATAAATTGTTTATTTTCAAAGTTTGGAAATTAAAAAAAAACCTTCACTAATTTATTACTGCTGTATTCTTTAAGAATACACTGACATAATTTACTTATATTGTGTATTATGTTAATGTTAATAACATTGTTTACACACACACACACACACACACACACACACACACACACACTTAGACACAAACACACATACACCTACACACACACACACACACACATATATATATATATATATATATATATATATATATATATATATATATATATATATATATATATATATATATATATATATATATATATATATATAAATATATATATATATATATATATATATATATATATATATATATATATATATATATATATATATATATATATATATATATATATATATATATATATATATATATATCAGTTTTAACTTGTAATATTTTAACTATTACTTTTAAGTTTTGTAGTTCAACATCTTTGTTATGTCACAATCAAAGCAAGATCTCATTAAGAACAAATTTGTGGTAGTTACATTTGAAACAAAGGGCAAAACATCCAAAGGCTTCTCTGTGGATGTTATATGTTCCAGTTGTTTATTAAGATACACAGAAGCATTTTATCCACAATATTTAAAATCTGTAGAAACTAAAGCCTGACATTGATGCTTGGCCTAACTAAGTCAGGCTATTTTTCAGTCGATGTATGTACTTTTCGTTCTCTATAAAAGTTTTTTTATGGGTATGTTTTTTTACAAAAAAAAAAAACATGCTTACAGGGACAAAAAATTAACAGATACACTAAAATGTCCCCGATAATGCTGATGTTCCCGTAAGTGTTAGTTTTTTGAAAAATCTGTCCCTGTAAGTGCCAAAATAAGTGTATATATATATATATATATATATATATATATATATATATATATATATATATATATATATATATATATATATATTGGCTTGGCATCAGTTTTGCATATTTTTTAATGTTTAAATTAAAAAATATATATATTCTTAAATCAAACGACCAAAACCCGAAATAATACTCTTAGTTTGTCGTCACCAGCTACTCGAAGTTTTCCGTCATGTGCTAATACATAAAAATAGTTAACATTATAATTTCATACTGTTATAAATTTTTTTCTTATTTAGGTATAACAAATTAGTGCAATAAAAATTTGCAAAAATCAAACAAAAAATTAATGAAAGCAAGCGTGAATTTTCACTATGTCAGAAAAGCTAACAAAAACATGTTTTTCAATGTTATTTATTTTTATCTTGTGTTATATTTGGTATTTAATTATGAACATTGATATCTCAAGTTATAAAGTTTTGAATGTTGGAAAATACAATATGATGGCTTATAAATCAAACTTGACTTGTCCTAAAGTAGACACTGAGTTTAATAAATGCATACTCAACATAACAATGAACCCCCCTGGGCGAAAAAGTTACATTGTTATTCAATCATTTGATTCTTGCAACAACTCTAAAACTATTGGTGGAGACTTTTGGTGGATGAAAATTATAGGTCCAAATTCTTTCAATGTACCGTTAATTGACAATAATAACGGTTTTTACTACCAAGAATTTTGGCTGAATGTAGAAGGAAATTATACAATCAGTTTGATGCTTGAATTTAGTAAAAACGATGGCATGAAGGATCCACCTAAAGATTGGTTTAAATATGGTTAGTAAATAATTAAGTATTTTTTATGAAAGCATTTAAAAAATTTGTTTATTTTATATTATTATTTTTAAGCAACTATCGAGCTAACATTAAACGTTTAAGTACGTTCAACGGTCATTGTGAATATTTGGAGCAAATTCTTTGAACGTTTATAATACGTTCTTGAACATTCGCAACGTTCGTTTAATGTTTCATGTTAGTTGGGTATTAAACTTATTACATAGAGATTTACATAAAAATTTGATGCATATCCTATTTAAAAATTGAATTTTTTAATTATAAGTTCCAAGATTGTTTTGAGAAATCTTGTTTGTTACTTTTGTTATCATAACCAGTACTAACTAATACCAGGTTTGACTCTACTGGGCATAATACTTGAACCAATTTAGTTTTCTATTATAGATACTAAGTAATTTTGACATCGAGATCCAATAAGGTTATGCATGGAATCGTTTATTGGATTAAGTCGGACAATCCCTTTTGCTTTTTTGTTATAGCTTTTATTTACTTTATTAAGTTTTAATTTGAAATTTGTTTTTTATTAATTCAGTAGTACTTTGATTACTGAATTAAAAAAAATTAGTTTTTAAAACATTTTTTAATGAAAAACTGGGGCCTTTTTCATCAAATCAAAAAGCAAAAGAAACACAAACTAAATGCAAGTTGTGCTGTTTAACATGATTAGTTTTTTATTTTTTGTGCTTGCATTTAAAATAATTTTCATTACTTTTTTAAAGATTGGTAGTATTAATTTATATTTTGTAGTTTTACTATTTGTAAATATCCTTGAAAAAACTTCTTTCAGAATATATAATTGATTTATTAAAAAAATGGATAAAGTAGTATAATCTAATATAGCATATACAGTTTTAAGCAAATGTAGACCATTACAATCGATTTGATATTATTTAACGGAACATCAGTCAACTAAAACCTTTTTAACTAAAACCTTCATTAAATCTTTTACTTGCTACCAAGTTGTACTTACTACAAACCTCACAACAAATTTGTAATTTATTTTATATTTCTGTTCACTATTTAAGAGTCAAGTTAAATTTTTCATTTAGTAATTAGTTCAAAAAAATGAAAAGGACACACAAAGCATGATTTATCTAAGAAAGCGAACTACTTCTTTAAATGTATTTATCCCTTTCTAAACAACAACCTGCAATTACATTTTTTATCACTAAAAATAAATTTTGGAAAAGACAAGAAAATTTATGCAAATAAAAAAAAAAAATTAAAGACATAATTTTTATTTTTTTCATGCCCTGTAGCATAAGTCGAATAAAAATTAGCGAAACAATGTAACTTGATTTTTAAGACATTTATTTAAAAAGTTATTAAAAATCTTAAAACGCATGAGCTAATAAAAAACGTTTCTTTACTGGTACATACCCAGCCAATCAATAGACATGGGTCTCACAAGGGACCCATACGGTCATACATAAGGGACCCTTACGGGTATCTCTGAGAGATCTCAGCGGGAGTTGTCCTAGGGCCTCATCTGGGAACCATACAAGTTGCCCTCTAGGATGCCCATAAGAGTTCCATATATTTATCCTTTTTTTCTCTTATGGTAGACTACGTTCTAGGATGCCCCATAGATGTAAAACATTTTAGCCCTTACAATTTCTATATAGATTATCTGGTATTTGACAGGGATGTCAATAAGGGATTTTGACAGTTGAACATTTCAAGTTTATTTTACAGTGTAACATTGACACCTCCATACTTTTTTTAATGAAAATCATTAAATAAAAAGTTTAATTCAAGTTTTCACAACTTGTAAATGCATTACATTGACGTTTTTTTGGAACATTATATTAAGTTATATATAAATAAATCCTGGTGTACTCGCAAATAATGAAACTAACTGTTGCAACTGATCGTCAACCCTGAATTTGCTGTTTGATAGCAGTTTGCAGGGTTGCGGTGGCTATTTAACAAGAGGAGAATTAAAAAAATACTTTTATGTGTCTTTAGTATATTATTAACTTAAGCACGTAGTTTTATTTGTGTGCAATTGTATTGTATTTGTATTTGTAAGATAATTGTCTACATATTTAAACAAACAAATATTGTAATATTATTATACAAATATTAAACCAAATATTCATATTTGACTATAATGCATAATATAATATTTACATAGTATATATTTGACTACTTGATACATACTTGATGATATAAATACAGTTATAAATATAAATGGAAGGTCATTAGCTGTGACTGCCATATCCTATTTATGAACCATTTTTGTTTAAATATGAAATAGAAGATTCAAAGCAAACTTTGCAGCTGGATGCCCTTCTTAGCATTACCCTGCTCTCCAGATCAGGAGAATATGGGTTATGATACTACTAAATTTATTATCATCTACAACCCTCGGAATTAGTAAAAATGAGGTCAGCAATATTTTGCCGACCTCATTCTTTAAAATTTTGGCATCGGTCGGCAAAAAAAATTTGATACCAAGGTCTTACTATAAAACATTGAAACGAGTCCGGCAATTTTTTGCCGACCTTAAACACTTCAAATTCGGCAGTTAAGTCTGCATTGCCAACCCTATTTTCGACGGTTACATCCATGATTTATGAGTACATTTCCTTTTACCTACAATTAAAAAATATATATTTTTTAATTAAAGTTTTCTTTCTTCTGTTTTTTCTCTTTTCTGCAAATATTGTAATGGACGCTGTTCTAAAGAGTGTGCCTTGTACCAACTACTAAATTTTATTCTGGTGTTACGTGCCATTTAATTAAGTCCATCTTTTTACTGTCCCTAAGTGTTCAAAAAAATCTTATTCCTCTAGTTTTTTCCTTCAAACATCAGTTCTTTGGAATTCGATCAATTCTTCTTTTTTTCCTTATTCATATAATTTGCAATCTTTTAAGTCGCCTATTAATCATTATCTTGCTCTATAATCCTAGTCTTTTTACTTTCAGTAACTTCCAATTTGTGGTTGTTGCAGCCTTGTAGTAGTATGTATACTTGAATAAATTTAAATAAATTATTCAAACAAAAAATATGCAAAATAAGTTTACCAGCCAATCCCAGCACCCTTACCTTGTAGATTCAAAAATATCAACTTAAAAATATCTCTAATAGAACTCAAAAATATCAACTTTAGTAAAAGTGCGTTTGAGGGTTTACATAAAAACCATTTTTATATGGCAGCAGAAAATATTTAGTTCATAATTTTCTCAAAGAATAAACTTTTCAAAGGTTTGAATGTTTTTAAACATAGAAAATAGACAGTAAAGATGAGGTAGGCGGATCTGTAAAAAATGGTTTGCAAAAAATGGTAAATGTAAAAAAAGTTTTTTATTTTAAACCAAGATTTTATCGAAAATATCAACTTTAGTAAAAGTGCATTTGAGGGTTTACAACAAAACCAATTTTATGTGGCAGCAGAAAATATTTAGTTCATATTTTTCTTAAAGAATAAACTTTTCAAAGGTTTGAATGTTTTTAAACATAGAAAATAGACGGTAAAGATGAGTTAAGCGGATTTGTAAAAAATGGCCTTTACGATCAAACTCTACATAAACAACAAAAGCATCAGGGTCATTTGTATTATTTCCGGCTAGAATATTTTTAACTAAACAAACTTTGTTGTCCATTCCAAAGCAGGAGTTTCCAATTTCATTACAAACTAGAAACTGAGAACCAAAATATTATTTAAATTGTGGTGAAAAAGAGGTGACGTAATCTCAACAAAGCTGGACTATCTAAATGTTTTTTTTTAATTTAAAAGTGAATTAAGCAATATTTGTTTCAGAGTATTATAAGTGGCACTCTGACAATCTAAATACAATTTGTGTAACAGGTGACTGTGGACTATGGGTTAACTTCATAAGGCTTCCTAAAAACTTTCAAAAGGAAACGAAAATACATTGTCTAGTGTTTCAAATCTCCGAACATCATTTAGTATATGTATCTGTGAATAGACATTAAATACACACTGGTCATTTCATAAATTTGACACAAAATACTTTAACGGTTGTTCTGAATAATCTAAATAGTTGTTCCATAAAGATGGGCTAATAAGTAATCTAATTGCTACTGATAAGCACAAAAAATTAACATACAATTTTATAAACAAAATACAACATCACCATAATATAATAGAAATTGCCTAAGTTCTGTTGTCTTCCAACATTTATATTCAGAGAGATTAGGCTATATATATATATATATATATATATATATATATATATATATATATATATATATATATATATATATATATATATATGTATATATATATATATAATTATATATATATATATATATATATATATATATATATGTATATATATATATATATATATATATATATATATATATATTATATATATATATATATATATATATATATATATATATATATATATATATATATATATATATATATGTATATATATATATATATATATATATATATATATATATATATATATATATATATATATATATATATATATATATATATATATATATATATATATTCATATATATATATATATATATATATATATATACATATATATATATATATATATATATATATATATATATATATATATATATATATATATATATATATACATATATATATATATATATATATATATATATATATATATATATATATATATATATAAATATATATGTATATATATATATATATATATATATATATATATATATATATATATAATATATATGTATATATATATATATATATATATATATATATATATATATATATATATATATATATATATATGTTGGTAACTATCTGACACGGAGCAGCAGCGGATAGTTCAGATTTTAGAAAAAAGACAATAGTTGCCACTTCAGTAATTTCGTGCATTAGCCGTTTTTCAAGACTAGGTATAGCATCCATCATAAGTTGGAGTTTTAGGTAGTAAATACCTATAAAAAAAAATCTTTTTTTTTAATTTTTTAAAAAGACTAACTATTGATAATA